GGGACTCCCTCCCCCTCCTGGGACTCCCTCCCCTCCTGGGAATCCTTCTCAGTGGCACACAGCCAGCCAAGCCCCAATGCCTTCCCTAGAGCCCCCACCACCTCCAGCTCCCCTACATGGCAACAACCCCCTGGCTGAGCACAGCCTGGGCCTCCCCTGCTCTCTCGGCAGCTCAGGCTCCGAGGAGGCTCCTCCCTAGGACCCCCTTTTAGGGTTGCATCTGGCCACAGCTTTCAGTGCCAGACTCTGGGTCTGTCATTTCAGCCCCACGGCTCTTCCAGACTGAGCCATGGACGCCTCCTCTTAGCACATCCCAGCGCCCACCTAACCCTGTGAGCACCCCCTCAGGCTCTCCCCAGGCCTTCCGAGCACCCAGAGCCCCAGCCCCTCCAGACCCGCCCCCGTGGCCCGGCTCCTGCACCAGCTCCTCCGCAGTCCCCCTTCCTGGCGCCGTGCCCGGGGGCTGTGCTGCTCCCACCCCTGGCTCTATTCTCCGTGCCCAATCCCACGTGGGCCCGAGGCCAGCTGTCTCCCCAGCGCTCTGTCTGCAGCAGGACGGTGCCTCCAACCCCGCAGCTCAGCTGTCTTGCTGCTGGGAGAGCTGGGAGGTGGCGGCACAACAGCCACCCTGCGGTGCTGGGGCCGGGCTGGGCCGGGCTCAGGGCACTCACGCGTGCGGGCCAGCAGCAGCGCAGGCCTGCTGATGTCATTCTTGTTGTTGGTGTTACGCTTGACCGAGAAGACGGAGATGTTGTAGGCCTTGCCGGCCCCCAGGGCCCGGAGCTGGTGTGAGGAGCGGCTCCTGTCCACAAAGTCCGTGCGGCGGTAGGTGCCGTCGGAGGAGACGTACGTCACCGCATAGCCGTCCAGCATCTGCCTGACCGCTGGGCCGTCGGGCGGGTTCCAGGAGATGGAGACCCCACTCTCCTCCACCCTGTCCATCTTGAGGGCCGTCGGTGGGAGGAGCTCTTCAGGGTTCGGGTTAAAACAAGGATGGACCGGTCAGCTCTCAGCCGTGCAGCCTGGCTCCCGTTGGCGGCTCTTGGGCCTGACACAACTGTCGCCACCAGATCCCTTCTGTCCTCGGCCAGGAACCTCCAGCAGGGCCACGCTTGCATGGGTGACAGTGTTTCCAGCCCACCGGGGGATTCTGTCCCCTCCCTGTTCCTCGGGGAAGGGGCCTGGTTGAGCAGCGGCTGGATGCTCTGCCCTGGGTCCGGGGAGAGGGGACCCCACAGCTCCCCCATGAGGCAGCCTCGTCACCCACCTTTGGCGCAGTCCTGGCCCGTGTAGCCCACTTTGCAGGTGCAGCTGTGGGAGCCGTTGGTGACCAGGCAGTAGCCGCGGCCCCCACAGGGGCTGGAGAAGCAGGGGTCACTCACTGAGGGGACAGAAGGCGGCAGTGAGTGCTGAGGCGTGCCAGTCCCCCACTCCAGCCCGCCCTTGCTCCTGGGGCATTGGGTCCCTCCTGTGTGGGTGTGGAGGGGCGGGGGGTTCCTGCCTCCCTTTGGTTCCGCCACCTTCGCTGCCCTGCGGGGCCCTCCAGCCTCCACACAGGGGAGTGGACACTGGGCCAGGCCAGGCCTCTGCCCCCATGACAGTCCTCTTGAGGAGGGGAGGTCAGTGGTCAAAGAGGCCTCATCAGGGTTATCCCACTGGATCAGGGAGAGTGTTCCAGATAGAAGGACAGCGAGGGGCCTGACCCGGGTCTGCAGCTAGCTTGGCCTGTCCAGGGGCAGCAGGGCCTGTGTGTGGATGTCAGCCCCACCCCTGGGTGTGTCCTTGGGTGACGAGGGGTGTCTGGGGGGTGAGTGCGTGAGATAGGGATGGTTAGAAGGCAGCATAGTGGGGCCAGTGCAGACAGGTGGAGGGCCACTGGCCGGCGTCCTGAAAGGGGATTCCGGGGAGATGGGCAGCGCCTGGGGAGCAGGTGGGCCTGCCCTACCTGTCTCGCAGTGGTAGCCGAAGAAGCCCTCCGGGCAGACGCACAGGTAGGCCCCGCCGCCGCTCTCACACCGGCCTCCGTGCTGGCAGGGGCTGGAGTCGCAGGCATCCACCTCTGGAGAACACCCAGAGAGTGGGCCCAAGCCGCAAGGGGGGAGTCTGGGGGAGGGAGGAGAGGACAGCGGGAAGAAGGGAAAGGAGGCGGCCAGGGGTAGCGGCCAGGACAGAGGGGCAGTGGGCAGGTCCCGCCCCTCAGCCTTCCCCACCCCCTCCCAAGGTGGCCACAGCCCTGGGGATCCCTCTCCCAGGTGGCCTGCCCAGCACAGAACGTGGGGACACCCAACCTCCTCTCTGATCTTCCAGAGGCCAGGCTCTGCATGTGGGGCCCACTGGAGGGGAGCCCCTACCTGTCTCACAGCGGACTCCAGCGAAGCCTGCAGGGCACTGGCAGACAAAGGCCCCTGGGAGGTTCCTGCAGGAGCCTCCGTTTCTGCAGGGCTGAGCTCGGCACTCATCCCTCTCTGCACAGAGAAGGGGTGTTAAGGGTGTTGCTGGCTTGGGTCTCAGGCACCGACCTGCCCCCAGGATTCTGTGCACTCCCTGGGGCTCTGCTCACCCCTTCCCTAAATGGGAGTCATTACTCTGGACACCTGCTTTCTCTTCCACCAGCCCACACTTGCCCCTCCTCGGGAGGCATGCCACCTCCACGCCTTCCTTCAGGTCACTCCGTGATGGGAGGCTCCCTGGGCCTTGCCCTCCCTGGAGCCTGCATTTCTTTCTCAGGCTTAGAGCCCTGGCGAGGTGGAAGGGTGTGCAGGGCTCACTGGGCAGGCCTCCCCTCCCCCTACTGGCTGGCAGCACCCACCAGGTGTCAGAGGCTGTGACCCTACCTCTCCGATGCCCACCTTCTCTGCGCCCCGAGGCCAGGCCAGCATTTCTCAGCTGGGCTCTGTCTCCCCAGGGGAGGTGCAGGAAGGGGTATTTGTAAATCTTTGTCTTGGATATCAGAGCTTGCAGGGGCCCGAGAGAGCATGCAGCGGCCACCCTGGCTGTCCAGACAGAGACCTGTCCGGGGAACCCACGGCCTCAGGCACATGGCCAGTGTGCTGGAACTGCCGCCCAGCGGGGCCAGGGCCCTCTTACCCAGCTCGCAGTGGGCACCGTCATAGCCAGCGCTGCAGAGGCACAGGTACCCGGCGACGCGGTCCTGGCAAGAGCCTCCGTGCAGGCACGGCTGCGACCGGCACTCGTCAATTTCTGAGAGGAGAGAGCCCAAGAGTAAAGCAATGTGGCCACAAGTAAGCCAAACTGAGAGGCGCAAACTAGTTCTGAGGGTCCGGACAGAATTCGCTGATACGTCCTCAGTTGCTGGAGAGGGGAGAGCCGGGGCGGGACATCCCTGGAGTCGGGGCAGGGCAGCAGGCCTGGGGCTCAGTGCCTGGCAGGCTCAAAGAAGATGCTGTGGGACTGAATTCCAGGGGGTTTCAGGCGGCAGGACAAAGGCCTCGGGTTTGGCAGAAAATATCTCGCGTCCCGTCTTGCCATTTCAATGTCTACTAGTCACCTATGAAACCAGAACATCTATGAAAAGTCTCTTGTTCTTGTTGCCCAGGCTGGATGGAGTGCCATGGCACGATCTCGGCTCACCACAGACTCCACCTCCCAGGTTCAAGCGATTCTCCTGCCTCGGCCTCCCCAGTAGCTGGGATTACAGGCATGCGCCACTGCGCCTGGCTCATTTTGTATTTTCAGTAGAGACAGGGTTTCTCCATGTTGGTCAGGCTGGTCTCGAACTCCCGACCTCAGGTGATCTGCCTGCCTCGGCCTCCCAAAGTTCTGGGATTACAGGCCTGAGCCACTGCGCCCAGATGGGATAAATCTTTAGTTTTAAAGGATTCACCACAGGTTTCTTTTAAACTGGGAGTTGTGCTCCTGAATTTAAATGTTTAAAGTTTAATTTAATGCTTAAAAAGTAAATAAATGGTAATGGCTTGGTGACATCTGAGACGAGCAGCCACCTTGGCAGCCGGAATGGTAAATGGGCTCATCTGATCACACACTCCTCCTCTTCCCTTGTGTTAATTTCTGGGGTATTCATTTCCTTGCCTTTTAAAAATTAGGTTTTCTGGCAGTAAAGTAAGTAATTAAGATTAGCTTTAAAATGTTATGAATTGCCTAAACAATAATGAATTTGTTTTTGTGGTTTATGAACTTTATTTATAGTACATCAGGACATAATATTGTCTTCCCTCAGCATTATGTGAAGAAGATAACTCATTTTCACTGCTAATTTTTGTATTTTTAGTAGAGATGGGGTTTCACTATGTTGGTTCACCAGGCTGGTCTCGAACTCCTGACCTCAGGTTATCCGCCCACCTTGGCCTCCCAAAGTGAGCCACTGTGTCTGGCCCCAACATTTTCTTTTTGATTTATTGATTTTTGATTTACTGAATAGCATTACATAGCGTGATTTATCATACTTCACCCATTCTCTTTGGCTGGGTCTTTGGGTTGGTTCTAGACTTTTTCCTTTTACAAAAAACGTGGCTGTGTTTATTCTTTCCCATCTCCTGGTGCAGACGTGCAAGTTTTTCTCAGGTTGCTACCCGGAAGCGGAGTTGCTGGAACACGGCTGATGTAAATGATCAACAGCGGCAGACTGCTCACCGGGCAGATGAGCACACTGTTCTCAAAGCACCCCAAGCAATGTATCCTTCTCCACCACCCCCACCTCCCGGGTTCGAGCAATTTTCCTGCCTCAGCTTCCCAAGCAGCTGGGGTTACAGGCGTGTACCACCATGCCTGGCTGATTCCGTATTTTTAGCAGAGACGGGGTTTCTCCATGTTGGTCAGGCTGGTGTTGAACGTGTTGATCCACGTGCTCACCAGTATAGATTTTTCAGACTTCTGAAAATTTGCCAACTGAATGTATCTCGTTTGCATTTTCCTGATTACTAATGAAATAGAATTCTCCTTTTTATGTCTGTTGGGCTTTTGTATCTCTTCTTCCACGAAATGCCTCTGCATGTGTTTTTCCTATTAGGTTGTTTTCTTACCGACTTATCTGAGTCCTTCACGTAGTCTTAAAACTATGTGTCTCTTCTTCCAGTTTGTAGTTCACATTTCACTTTCTTCTTCAAGGTTCATGGATCTAAGCTCCTAATTTTCATGTTAATAACTTGTTATGTTATTACTTGTATGTTAATAACTTGTTTCATAATCCTTTTTGGGGCTTAAGGAGTCTTTCACTGCCCCAAAGTCAAAAAGATATTTACCTATATTTTCCACACAAAATTATATAGTTTTAAAAAATTCTTTTCCCCTGTGGTATTTCAGGATTTTTTTTTTTTTTTTTGAGACAGGGTCTTGGTGAACAGAATGAATGATCACTGGGAGACGCCCTCTCACTGTTAATGATGCTTTTTGTCTTATAATCTTTTTTTTATGATAGTAATATAGCTAATACACCAGCTGCATTTTGATTTGCATTCACCTGATATTTTTTCCTTTTACCTTCACTTTGTCTATCCTTGTTTCAGGAATGCCTCTTAAAGAGTGCTAGCCTGTCTCATACCGTATCTGGCAATCTCTTACCTGCAGAGTCAGTCCATTTATACAATTCTCGCCAATCTTAGTATTTGCCACATTTTCTCCTTTTGGATGGTGACAAGCCTTACCATGAAATCTGATAACTCTCCCTTCTCTGAACTGGGTTTATCTAATTACCTTCTTATCTTCCTTCCTTCAGAAAAGGACACTTTTTTTTTCTTCTAAGCCTCTGAAGCTGTGTTTGTATGAGAATATATATTTTTATGCTCTCACATTTGAATAACAATTTGATTGGATAAAGAGTTTTAAGTCTCAAGTTTATTTTGTTTCTTAATTTTTAATTTCTAGGAGACAGGATCTTGCTGTCACCCAGGCTGGAGTGCAGTGGCGTGATCATAGCTCACGACAGCCTTGAATTCCTGGGCTCAAGTGATCCTCTCACCTCAGACTCTTGAGTACCTGGGGTTACAGGAACATGCCACCATACCTGGCTCATTTTTAAAGCTTTTTGTAGAGTTGGGGTCTTGCTATGTTGCCCAGGCTGGTCTTGAACTCCTGGCCTCAAATGATTGTCTTCGATCATTTTCCTCCATTTCTTCCTTTGTATCGATTTCGTTAGGCCTATCCAATTTATTCATTTCAGCTGGGCAAGGTGGTTCATGCTTGTTGGTTCATCCCAACACTTTGGGAGGCAGAAGCAGAAGGATCTCTTGAGCTCAGGAGTTCCAGACCAACTTGGGCAACACAGTGAGATCCTGTTTCTACAAAAATGAATAATAAATAAAGCAATTTATTCATTTCAGATGTATTTTCAGTTCTAGATTCTCTATTTTGTTAGTTTTTTTCTCTGCTCAAATTCTGTCTTCTCTCAATCATTCTGCCTCTTTTCCTTTTTCTTTAACATAAAGAAAACTTTTAATGGAATTTTAAAGTCTGTCTAAATTCCAACACGTGGGTGATCTGTAAGGTCTTTTTCTGTTGACTGTTTCTTCTTTAGATTATGTGTCATAATTTCTTGCTTCTCAGACATAGTGTGTATAAGAACACTGGAAATCAAAGTAGGAATTCCTCCACCAGGATGAACACACTCTAGTCTCCACCAGGTAGTGGGGTTGAGCAGCTGGCCTGTGATGTCACCAGGAGTTGAGCTGGGCTGGGGCTGGAGCAGTTTTAAGTAGTTTCGGCTCAATATACGTTTTGAATGCTTGAGGATTTGAACATGCCTCTCCCTCCAGGCGGACTCGGATCGAATCCTTGTGAGACTATGGAATCGCTCCCTGCTATACAGACCAGCCCCTGGCTTCTCATCACTTGTAACGATCCTGTGGGTGAGACCTGGTGGGTGCCGGGAACTCACGTCTGTGTCGATGGTGCTTGTCCCACAGCATGACCAGTGTGGCTGCAGGATGAATGCAGGCAGCAGCCTCAACCTCTGCATCCTCAACGTGACAGGTTAAATGACAGGACTTCACAGGCTTCGTGGAGCTCCTCCAACATGACAGTGACAGCCACGGTACTTTGTGGCTGTCTGCACGCTGACCAAATGGATCTCTTCAATGTTTAAAAAATTTCACTATCTCACATCTGACATCGCTGTTGAGAAGTCTGACGTCAAGCTGGTTCTCGTTCCTCTGTACATGACCCGTTCTTCCCTCTGGAAGTTAAAAGTTTTCCCATTTGTCCGGGATATTCTGGTATTTGACTGGAATGGGTCTGGCATTTGTTCCCCTTTGCTCCTGTCTGATGTCCCGTGGACGCTTTTAATCCGCTGTTCATCCGGAGCTCGGGGAATTTAACGCCCTGGCCACTCATCCTTCATTTTTATTTTCTCTTCTTCGTGGGCTCCAATGATCTCAGCATTGGCCATGCCTTCTACCCTCTACAGCACCAACATTTTCTTTTTTCTTTTCTTGAGCCAGAGCCTTGCTCTGTTACCCAGGCAGGAGTGCAGGTGGTGTGATTTCACCTCACTGCAACCTTCGCCTCCCAGGTGTAAGCGATTCTCCTGCCTCTGCTTCCCAAGTAGCTAGGACTACAGGCATGTGCCACCACACCCAGCTAATTTTTGTATTTTTAGTAGAGACAGGGTTTCACTATGTTGGTTCATCACGCTGGTCTCCAACTCCTGATCTCAGGTGATCCTCCTGCCTCAGCCTCCCAAAGTGCTGAGATTACAGGTGTGAGCCACTGCACCTGGCCCCTACGTTTTCTTTTTGATTTATCTATCTTTCCCTGCTTCTTTCTGGGAAAGTTCTTCAAGCTGATCTTTCAACTCACCAACTTACTCTTCATCTGTATCCATTTATATATTGTCTGTTATTTTAACTATGATAGTTCTTCACCTGCTTCTGCCCACTTTCTTTTTAAATGATTTACCGATCCTGTTTTGGATGGCCAATGCCGTGTTTACTTTGTAAATCTGTCACGGTTATTTTATACTGTGAATCCATTTTCTTTTTCTGTACGAGATGGGGTCTTGCTCTGCCCTCAGGCTGGAGTTCAGTGTCAGGACCACGGCTCACTACAGCCTTGACCTCCCGGGTTCAAGTGATCTCCTGCCTCAGCCTCCCGAGTAGCTGGGACTACAGGCACGTGACACCATGACCAATTTTCAAAATGATTTGTGGAGATGAGGCCTATGTTATGCTTGCTAGTCTCAAATTCCTATGCCAGTCCATCTTCTCCACTTCTGCTTCCAACCATACAGGTCGTCTGGACTTTTATTACTGGTCTCAAAAGAGACAGATGTACTTCTGAGGGTTCTCGATACCCTGACTGGTCACTCACCTTCTCTGAGGATCCCGGCTTCTCATCTGGCATTGTACAGGGGGAAGAGGCACTGGGAGGGGGTTGTCTCCAAGACATGGGAGCTCACCTTAAGGCCTGGAAGCCCAGAAGGAAAGGAAGGATACCTGAGGCCAGGTATTCCCAGACCCTAACCTGAGTGAGGCCATATGGGTTGGCCTTGGCTTGGCGGGCACGTGGAAGATGGTGACGTGCTTATGTGCCCCATTCATCTCTGGGTGCTGCCACCCACCATCCCTAGGCTGATTTGTTTAAAACTTGCTTCATAAAAACGAGCTCACATCGCACAGACTTTCCGATGCACCATTCGGACTGCCCTGGCGTGATGTGATGCACCTGCAGTGTGTTAATGACCCCACTTCTCCAGGGACTTCGGTCAGAGGGGGCCTTGTCTCTAGGCTGTGCACCCCCAGTTCCCAACCCAGAAGGGTGGGACCTCAGTGACAATGCTCTCTGGGGCAGCACTCCTCAAATGGCTGCAGCAGGAGGGGGATCTTGTTGAAATCAGGCTCTGATTCCACAATTCTTCAAGGGGCCAGGAGTAGGAGGTGGACCCTGAATCTGCATTTGCCTCTTTAGGACTCTGCCCTTGGGCTTTCTCTTGGCCTCAGCTACTGCGTCTGCAGAGGGGGCATCTGGGTGTTTGACCCCCTGCTCCAGGAAGCCTTAAGTGAGTGTCTTGTGATCGCGACCACTGTCACCCAGGTCCACATTCACAGAGAGGAGACTGAGGGAGGAGGGGCAGGACCAGGTCAGAGCTGGACACCCAGGCCTGGGCCTGCAGCCCCCGTGCTCCTTTACATGGCTCCAGGGAGGAAGGTGTGGGCCCCACCTGCCCCACCCAAGGGCCCGCAGAATCACCGAGGCACTGGGGAGGCTCACTCCAGACACCCTGTGGCTGGCAGACCCGGATGCGGCTGGGGGCGCTGAGGCTGTAGCCTCGGTCACATGCATACAGGGCCACGGCGCCCAGCCGCGTGCCGTCGAAGCGCAGCGTGGCGTGCTTCACCTCCTCCGGGGGGCCGCAGTCCACCTCTGCAAGGCACAGCAGCCGGTCCTGCACATCTTGAGCCTTCCCGGCCCCTCTCCACCGCTCTGCCCTCTGCCTGACCTGGCTGCAGGGCCCAGGGACATCCTGCTCCCATACTGCCCTTCACAGGGGACTTCTGGGGCCTGGCTGCCGAGATGCTTGTTTCCTTCTTCCCATTCCTGCCCTGCCCAGCTCTGCAGGGAGTAGCAAGAAGACCCACGCCCCCACGTGACCCCCGGCCCTCTCACCTGCCTGGCACCGGCGTCCCATGTACCCAGCTTGGCAGTGGCAGAAGAAGTCCGTGCCTCGGTCCTCACAGGTGCCCCCATTCACACACGGGCTCCGGAAGCAGGGGGAGGGGGCTGCCAGAATGCAGGAGGGTCCTGGTCACTGCGTCGTCCCTGAAGGCTTGGGACTGCATGGGCATCCGGCCTCGTGCACCCAGCTCCACCTCCTGCACCTCCAGAGCCTGGGCCAGCCCTGCCCATGGGCCTGTTTATACATCTGCAGGGCGGCTGCACCCCTGGCCTGGCCTCCCACTACCTTACCTATCTCACAGTGCCGCCCGGAGAAGCCTGGGGGACAGTCACATTTGTATTTGCCAATGTAGTGGAAGCAGGTGCCACCGTTGTGACAGGGGCCAGAGGCACACGAGTCTGGCTTCCCTGGAAGTAGAAGGCACCCAGCCAGGTCAAGGGTCAGCCCACCACTCCTCCCAGGTTCCCCAATGCCCCAGAGCTGGAGCCTCTTCATGAGAAGCAGAACCGCAGCTGGCGGAGAGGGTGCGTCAGGGGCCCCAGCTCAGGGCTGGCCACTCATTCCTGCCCTCCCCACCACCGCTGGGGGCCACACCGATCTCAAAGTGCCTCCCGGTGAAGCCAGCCGGTCACTCCCGCCCTCCCCACTGCCCCTGGGGGCCACACCGATCTCACAGTGCCTCCCGGTGAAGCCAGCCG